AACCAACAAGCCAGATATTCCTTTAACTATATATATACACTCACAATATTCAGATATTGGGCTACGTGTAATAAATAAATTGCATTATCGTTCTTTTTCTTATTTTTATGGAAAGTAGTTTCAAAAAGTTGAAAAATCTCAACCCCACATAAATACATACTTTATTTTTGTTTCTTTATATATAAAATTATTGTATATTTTATAATATTTTCAAAATAGAGGACTCACTCGCCTTGATATTTCTACTGGTATTTTTTGCTGATGTGACTACTCAACTAATGAAATAAATAAATAATAAGACAAAGTGCATTTTCCTTTATATATATAAAAAAAAAAGTCATTTGAAATCACCTAAGAAAAATTTTAAATTATATATTTAAAGCCCATATAATAATAATAAATCAAATATTAAGTTAAAATCATCACGATTTGGTTGACTAACTAGAGCTATTCGTGGACAATTATTATTCAAAAGTGTATATAATTAAAATTAGTTGTATTTCGTTTTCTATTTTTACTTTTTTCTTTTTGACCATTTTATATTTCATTTTTCTTTCTCACTTACCAAGAACCAAAATTTTCATTATTTCAAAGACATAAACTACATAATACTTTTTTTTATATTTTTCAAAAAAACATGCACCCACACAAAACCCTACATGTTTCCTTTTTAAATACTTTTTCTTTTTCGGTTTCCTTTATAGCTTAAACATTAATTGGTAAAGTTTCATATATATATATATATATATAGGATTTCACCCAAACATGTCATCACTATGATTTAACCTCACGTGTGATTCCCACGAAGTAAGTTCGGAAATGATGAGTATTAAACTATCGACAATTCTACAACAAGGTTATCGAATGATTTTAAACGTTTGGATGGTAACCGCTTAAACTACATCATCACCTCACAGCGCATCTCACACCTAGAATCTCAAAGATAATGGTAGGGTTGAGCCCACAACTCCAACAGTATCTTTACTTTCACGTAAACACCCATAAATTACATGAAGACAATAGGCAAACATTTTGAGTTAAAATTTTTACTCTATAGAATCATGTATTGACAAGAGCTTCAGAGCTTAATGTTCTTGGAGATTTTAACGTTTTGATGAATTTTTGGTTAAAACAATGTATATATATTTTAAATTTTCTTTTATGTTATCTTTGGTTAATTAATTTTAAATAAATATTGAGCTTGAAACCACATCTGTTTTTTTAGTGTAACATGTGGGGGTGGAGATCAAAGTCACAGTCTTGGTTGGAGATATATGTCAATTACCATTGAGTTATGCTCGTTTTAACTTGAAACCACATTGGTATAAGCACTATGTTGATTATTTATCTCATAAGTGTTTTTTCTTTTTTTTTTTTGAATTGTGATGCTTTTAGTGTTTTTATAATTTAAAAAAAAATCTAAGGTGTAAAAACTATTTTTATGTTTAAAAGGTCGCGCCAAACTTACTCTTCTATATGAATTTGTTGAAAGAAAACAAAGGGAAAAAACTAAATTTTTCTTTTCTTTTTTTTTTTTGACAAAATGTAACCGCTAAAACAATTTTTTCTTTTTTTTTTTCCTCTTAGGATAGCTAATATAATAATAACATGGTAAAAATAGGTTTGGTTATTAGACTTTCATGCTTATTTAATCTCTGTACTTCAAATATTTTATAATAAATTAATGAACGTTGAATCTTTAAAAAGATTTTTAAATCTTAGAATTTTCTAAAATATGTCTATTTAGAATTGTATTATATAAAGTTTCTAATAAGTTTTCCACTTTTTAATTTTGTATTTAATATTTTTGTTGACACAATAAATTCAAATCATTTGGAGGGGAGGTAACTTATATAACCTATTAAAACTTTGTAATATAAAAAAATAAGAAAAAAAATTTGTAACCAACCCCTCGATTGAGTTCAGATGTAATTATTATTTGTTTTTCTAAAGTATAAGAAGTGAGGTTGAAATTGAACTAACGGTCTTTTAATCAAATATATATTTAATTACTGTAATTTCTTGACCACGTGGGACGGTAATTAAGGGAGTAGTCATATCGTAGTCTTCGACACACCGGATAAAAGCCCTCCTCTGTATGTCAGTGGGGATTAAACTAAAATTAAACTCACATTTTTTTAACCTCTCTCTCTCTTTCTCTCTCCTCTGCTTTCAAAAAGAGCGTCGGAGGAGGTTGAAAAACGTGCAGTGCAGAGGCCGAAAAATGATAGAAGAACGGCAAGGCGGCGCTCCCCACGGCATTCTGCTGGCAGTCGTCGTCGCCGTCGTGATCGTCGTTCCGTTCGTCTTCGGCGACCAAGGCGAGGCCGTCACCGAAGCCATCTCCGACCTCCTCAGCCCCTTCGGCCTCCTCCTCCTTCCCGTCATCCTCCTCCTCGCCATCCAGTTCCTCTCCTCCGACCGCGGCTCCTTCGTCTCCGCCATCTTCTCCACCGGCGAGCCCGATTCCATCCACCGCGTCACTGGATCGCCCGTCGGCGTCGCTCTCTTCCTCCTCCTCATTCTCTTCCTCCTCTACAATCGCATTTCGATCTTCGGCGGCGACGATGACTCCGGCGACTGAAATCCACAATGTGTAAAATAGATCTGTCTCTTCTGCCGCTTCATCGCTTTTCGTTTTAGCTTCCATTTTTTTTTTTTTTTTGCCTGCGATTTCTTGACCTTTTTTATGTATTATGTAAAGCTTTTTCTTCTTGCGGAAGAACAGGGGAATTTGAGACTTTGAGTAGACTGTAATTTACATGTATGCCCCTGCTGAAGTCCTCCGAGGCAGGGCTCTGTGATTGGTGGGAAAATATGGAAGTTCCGAAATTGCCCTTGTTGTCCTCATGCTTTATTTGGTTTCCGTTTCTGAGTCGTTGTCAATGGGGGCATTCTCGTCATTTCTCACCTCACGAAAAAAGTTACACAATGGGGTTTTTTTTTGTTTGACGATACTGAGCCACCGTCGGCGGCAGCGCTGCGGTGGCCAATAATTCTTCTTCTGCTTTCCAATTACTCTGTTTTTTCTACTTTGTTTAATAATTGCAGGCAGTCAACTGCATGCCTTAATTATTTCTTTTCCCCAAAATGGAGAACTCTGTGAATTAAAAAAGGATAAGTGGATGGGAATCTAGTGAGGTAAGATGAGATCTGGGTCTATTTTAAGTTAGTGAAATTTTTGCTGTTATTTCAAGTTAGTTAGATCAGAAGCTCCGGCTTACTCGCCGATGATGTGTACCGCCGGCGTCTGTCAGACAAGCATGTGACGGTAGAATCTCTCTCTATAGGGAAAATCAGAGGGAGAAACAGTGGGGTTGGGCATGCTGATCTTTCTCTGCCGTCCAATCTCCGTCGTTAAAATGCTTACCGCTAGATTTGTCTGTTTGCGAGACATAATGTACTGCAGAGTGATCCCCATTTTCCACAGAGTGTTACTGTTTTAACAATTGAGATGGAGAAAAATGATTTTTATTAAAAAGTTGCTTAGATCTCATTTTGGTAGGTTCAATTTATACTTTAAAATATAGAACAGTTCAGACTTTATTATTTTATCACTTAATGCATGTTACTTCAGCATCTACCTTAGTCAATTTTATGCTGACTCCAATTGTATCTCCATGTTAGTACTTTGTCTAAATATTTAATAATGGGTTAATAGGAGGATTCAAATGGTTATTTATTAAAGTTTAAAGGTTAAAATAGATATTTTAAAAGTTAATGAGTCTAATAAAACAAACTTAAATGTTGAATGTTGGTTCAATTTGTTTTATGAAATTTGATTGCTAATTGAATAAAATATATATAAGATTTGACTATTTAAGTCATATGTTCTTAACAATTCAAATTCTCGTTTCAATGTTGAAGCAAAATATGTATATATGTATTTTTTTTGTTTTATTGATGTATGTATAAGATCTAGATCTTATTTTGATCAAAGTCTCAATTTTCTCTATAATATTTGATTTTATTTTCTATGTAGATTTAAAATTTTAAAGTTGGAATATATATGATCTAGTCATGCCTCACACTAAAGAGAATGGTTGAGAGTGGTCTGACAAACTTAACAGTCCTCGCAATGATGATGCTGGAGAGAGGGGTGAGGAATAGTGATAATATTTATATAAAAAAGTTATGGTTTTTTCACTTGAATCGTTAACATTAATTTGGTCGTACAATATTCCATGACGATTAGTTCAAGGGTAATTCGCACATGTCTTTGATCAAAAGGTTATGAGTTCGAATCAAATGAGTCTCAACAATGATGATAAACGCTACAATAGAATAAGTCCGCCTTTCAGTAGTTTTTCTCTAATTTGCCTCTCCTACCTTTTCAAAATTAAAATATTTTATATAAGTTAACATCCTCCCTAAAAAAAACTTTTGGCTCCATTCCTAAAAAATATCAGATATCTATTGGTGTTTGGATGAATTATTTATTTATTTGTATTATTAATAATAATAAAATAAAATAAAATCATAGCCCTAGAACAAATTGAAGTTGAGCTTTTTTCCAGGCTTATCTAGCTCATAATAAAAGAACCTAGCCCAATTTAAAATAGCCACAGTATTGGGCCGGGCCTATGCCAAGGCCTAGTAGATGTTTTTGCCTAAAATAGGCTATATTCTATTTACATGATACATAATTAGATATAAATAATAAATATGTATGTCACCTATTGTAATTTTTAAATTATGAGATATGTTTTATAATATTAGATAATGAAATATTATAACTTGGTAATATATATAATTAATAAAATTTTAAAATATAGTTATATAATTTAAATGTAACAAATTTATATTATATTGATACAAATTAAAAATTAAATTAAATTATTTTAACAAAATCAATTATATAACAAATAATAAATATAAATTACCTCAATTGAGCTCTATCAAGATAACTTAAAGTTGAACTAGATAATTAAAATTTCTTGATGATACACATAATTTTAGTTCAAGTTTTTAATAATAATAAAAAAATAGCTTTAGTAAATAAATAATTTATAATAACAAATATTGAATAGCTCAAGTTAATTTTAATTAATTGTTGGATTAATTAGAGTAATTGTAATCAATAATCATCGTATTTTTTACTAGGTCTTATTCAATGATACAATAAAACAACATGTTATTTCAAATACATTATTTTTATAAGTTTGAAAAATACAAGAAAACTTGAAAATTTACCTAGAGATAAAGGTTTGTTTAAACCAAGATGATTGTAACAAAAAAAACAACCGCGAACCCTAGCAGCGGATAATCGAATCCTATAATCAAACAAATAAATTTTGAAAGATGAATGTAATAAATTAATATTTTACGAAATTAAAAAAAAACATTAAAATAAAACTTTCATAGAAATGTTGGAACAATAAAGATAGATATCAATACGATAAGGAAAAAATATATATATCCGAAGGATATAATAGACATTATTTTGAAAATAGGAGTCCTTACAGGAATAGAAAATTATATTCCTTGAGATATACCAGTTCTTGACCAAAACCCTGGCCTATAAATAGCCATTGCCACGCCCATCTCAAACCCTCTCACGCTCCTGGTTGCGGTGCTTTGTCTCTAAAATTTCTTTGCAGGAGCGATCCGGGAGTGGAAATTTCCAATCATGTTGGTTTACACTGACCTCCTTTCTGGTAAATTTTCTAATTCCTTTTTCTTTGTTGTATTTAAAATAATTGTGTTTTCGGGGTTTTTTTGGTTTTGTTCTAGGGATTCGATTATCCCCTTGTAGGGTTTGCGGTTGTTTTTTTGGTTTTGCCTTTTTTCGGATCTCTGATTTATTCGTTAATTCTTTAACGAATAGGTATGGATTATTTGGTTAGCTTTTGGATCTGGAACATATTTTAGATCAATTGGTGTTCTTTTTATTGGTAAAAATCTGATTCATATTGGATTTTGCGAGTATGGAATGATAAAACGAGCGATGGTTTTTGGTTTGGCTTTTCTGGGAGACCGATTTTAGTTATCTCTGACGCTCAGATTTCAATGAATGTTTGTAGTACTATGAATCCTTATGAGCGTAGTTTATCAAGTGGGTTGTTAGAGTGATTTTGTTTTTTTTTTTTTTTTGGTTTAGAGTTATTGTTAGAGTTTCTTGGGGGTTATGAATAATGAAGTATTGAAGATTGATAGTTGTTTTCATGATTGCGTGTGTTTCAAAGTCTGCAAATTGATGCTATTTGTTTTCTGTTTTTGTACTATAGATCCAGATGATTTGATATTATTGTGAAAAATATTTCTAAGTTTGATTTATGTTGTGGACTTCTTTCTCTTAATTGATGTCAAAGTAATGTATGGATCTATCTTGACATGTTAGGTGACGAGCTTCTCTCGGATTCCTTCCCATACAAGGAAATTGAGAATGGAATGATCTGGGAAGTCGAGGGAAAGGTTTGAAATTTTAGTTTACTGTAATATTTCATTTTTAACCTCTGCCAACTATATATTTAACCAGTTAGTAAATTGAAGGGATATTAAGCATCATACTTAAACTGCTTGCTTATGTACAATTTGCAACAGTGGATTGTTCAAGGAGCGATTGATGTGAACATTGGTGCAAATCCATCAGCTGAAGGTGGCGGCGAGGATGAAGGTGTTGATGATCAAGCTTTGAAGGTGGTTGACATTGTTGACACCTTCAGACTTCAGGTAGGCAAACTTAAATCTTCAAGGATTATTTCAATTATTTTAGTGGAAATTGATTTTATATGCATATATATATTTTTCAATCTTGGTTTTCAGGAGCAACCTCCATTTGAGAAGAAGCAGTTCATCACATACATGAAGAGGTATATCAAATTGCTGTCTGGCAAGCTGGAAGGGGAGAAACTGGATGCATTTAAGAAGAACATTGAGGGTGCAACTAAGTTTCTGCTTTCAAAGATCAAGGACTTGCAATTGTAAGTACTTCTCTCATTGTATTTTTCTCTTTTTCTGTTAAACCGAAGATTTTACTTTTGTTGCACCCTTGGTTTAAGCTCTATGTTATTGGCACTACATCTTTAGTCAAGATTGTTTGCTCGTTTGGCTCGATAAACCAATTGGTTTTATCTTTTGAAAACTAGGAACTGAACTGGGGAACTCACATATGAAACCAGATCTAACCAATTGATCAGTTTGGTTTAAGTATGGTTCTTTGTCCATTTGGAACTTTTAGAAATTGTTCTCGAACACAAGTACAAAACTAACACAGCAGAGTTAATAAAACTAATCCACATGCATGTTCATTCTTAATTTGTTTTGTAGAAGTTCTTAACTTTCATACCGCTCTTCTTGTTTGGACTATCTATATCATTGGAACAATTTCTAATATAATACTTTTGTGCCCTTTTGCAGCTTCGTCGGAGAGAGTATGCATGATGATGGCACCATCGTGTTCGCATACTACAAGGATGGATGCGCTGACCCAACATTTTTATACCTTGCCCCAGGTTTGAAGGAAGTCAAGTGTTGAAAGAACAGAAGTTTGAAGCAGAATGCTTCATGTAGCATTATGAGTTTCTACTATTTTTGCCTTTTTTTTTCTCATGACATTTGAATTTGGATGGTTTGGGCTGTTTTTGTTTTGGTTAATTTGGGTTTCCTTGTTTTGACATTATTTACTGGGAAGCTTATGTTCTGATGAATGCAAAAGTTACTATATTTATTTGCTTATTGCTTAATGAGTCTCTAATTTCTATCATTTAATCTGCTATTCAAGTGGAAAATAGCTCTCTAGTGTGATGAAGAATTGCTTCCCCATAACCATCATGAGAGGTTCATTGGTCCAAAAGGGATTAGAGTAACTAAGAGGGAATGAGTTTAAATCCTATGATGGCAACCTACCTTGGGAATTAGTAATTCCTCGACACCAAATGTTATAGGGTCAGGTGGTATGCGTAATTTCTTTGATTCTATTCTATAATCCGTAATTTTAAATGTTAAATTTAGTTTTATTGTTAATATGGGCTTTAAATTTTAAGAATTGTATTACAATTTAAGTTATTTGTCTTGTTTTAGGTTAAATTGACATTTTAGGCTGTGGTATAAATTTTATTACATCTCTACTGTTTAGTTGAATCTTTTTAAACATCAATTTAGAGGCGCGATGTTAGGGTTTTAGGTATTAGGGTTTATGGATAACATATGATTTTGGTTTAAGGAAATGTTTTTAAATACAGAGGGAATTTATTAAATAGAAGTCAAAATCCCTCCTGCTTATAAAAAGTTTAATACTCAATCATTTCTGTTTCTTTTCTGCACAAATAGTTGGTTCTCAATATAATAATGGATAGAAAAATAAAGCAACAATATTCTGTGTGCCGTTTTGGATTCGAATTCACGATCTTTTGTTCAGAAATAAGTGTTTGAATATATTAGACATTTCAAAATGCTACAGAATTTGATATTAGATTTGTAATTACTTTTTTTCTTTAAACTGAAATTCTTCCACAAATATCAGATTATTTTAGACTGATTTGCTAGGTTATAAGTTTAGATATGCAACTGGAATACTTTGCCATGCCACCAGCTCTGATTTTTTACTGAATTGAAATCCCACAAAATCTAGCAACTTAAAAACTCATTTTCTTACAAATAAGTTTTGAAATACCACTTTGATTAAAGTTATAACAAACAAAATATAATTTATCTCAAATCTATTATGATTTGGAAACCATGGGAAAACACAATAGGAACTGTAGAAACATTCATTTGAACAATAACAAAATTGACAATTGTAGAGCAAATTGTCAGCAAAAGCTTCAGTTAGTATTAAAATTAGAAACAGAATACAACACTCACTGGATGTCTCGTAGAAAAAGAATTTGTTACGATGATTACACCTTCGACTAAGGTAGAACATAAAAAATTATAATTTGCAGATTACAGAAGCTAAACTAACACGTGAAGTCCTGATCAATTGATTAAGTGATTAAGGCACCTATCTACGACTAAAAGGTCATAAATTCGAATCTCACCCCACATGTTGTATTAAAAACAAGAAAACAAAACAAGTGAAACCCTGCTCCACGTTCAGAACCAGAAACCTTACTCTCTGCAACAATGGATTGGGTTCAGTTCGTTCATGGGCTTGGGTGGCCTCTTCACAATCATGACAGAGCAATGGGCATGGTTAGCACAGTAGTTACTTACACTTCCCAGAGCCATCCTGTTTAACAAAAACAAATTTATTAGTATTTCACTGCTAAATCCAAAAGTTTAAGCAATATTAGATTACGGTGAATTTAATCTTTTACTCATATTCTTAGCACTTTCTCTCACTTGTAACTTCTTAGAAATTAGCACAAAGCCGAACAAGTCGTTACTAGTATTAATTGGGTAGGAAATGACATTACAGAGACTGAAACACAAGATCTCTGTATCATATTAAATTGCCACTAGAGCTAATAGCTTAATATTTTATTAATTTATGATTCGCTAGGGAATGCTAGTTTGAGTTAGGGTTTTGTTGGAGTATCACAATTCAATCAGAAGGTGGAAATTCAAAACTATTACTACTGATGCATTCAACAGTTGAGTTGTGTTTTATGGAAAGCATAAAGGCAAAACTACGAACTACACAATAAAATCAGTCAGTTTCTTTTATTGTAAGGGAGTCTTTACCTTTTCACTACTCCATAGTTGTGACTTCCAACAACCAAAATGGATGCATGGAATTTTTCTACAGCATCGCACATGACATTTCTGGCATCGCCCTCCACAATTTCGACCTGTACGTTTTCAATCTGCATGGCAGAAGATTGTCTCAATAAGCCTGCTGAATGGTTATGTAAAATTTTTGGAAGAACAGATGGTGGCTCCAGTTTCAACTCAGTCATGTCCTAAAACAGTACAATTGGCAGTAGTTCAAGTTATTCTATGGATTCTGGGCAGTTCTTACTCCTATACATCCCCATGGTTTATATATAGATATAAAAGAAAAAAAAAAAAGACAAACAAATTGGTCATGTTTTCAATAGACGGGCAAGGAGATTTGCATAACTGTGTATGAACTCAGATGGTGAATAGCAATCACCCCGACTTTCTCGGGTGCCGCAAATTACATTTGTGAGAGCTTATTTGTGCAAATGTGGAAGAGTAAGAGTTAGAAATATTATCCAAACTATTAATTTGACCTAATTTTGAGGCTTAGTAAAATTACGATAAAAAGAAATGAGTTTCATTATTCAAGTATAAATAAGATTTTATAAACAAGTAGTTCAATCGTTAATCAGAATGGAAGCCAATTAAGAGCAATGCAATTCAGGTCCTATTTGGAGAAATAGCTTTTAAGCAATCAAAATTCTAAATGAAAGTGATCAGAGAAATAAGAGCTGGAGAAACGTTTAGAAAAAACCAGATAAATCACAGATGGACTTTACCTTGTGCTCGATGCATATATCCTTCGCTTTTTGGACAGTCCTGTTAGCTACTTTATTGAGATCTGCATCTAGTAAGGACAAGGCGTTCGCGGCTCCTGTATTTCAAAACATTTGTTAGGAAGAAACCACACTGACACTGCCCACAAATTTGATATTCATTGGGGAAAATGTTACAAATCGCAACTTGATTATAAGAAACGGCTTCAAAATGTATACAGATTTCTTGATTCGCTTCAATTATACGTAGCGAGTAGATCGTAGCTTCGAAATATATATATGCTCTTTCATCACAATTCGATATCCAAAAACAAGCAGTACAGAAAGTAAATTCAATTTCCCCTGTGGTAGATACCTTTCTTTAAGAATCAACCTGGTTTCAAATTAATCTTCGCATTCGGAGGAACCAAACGGAACAATCGAATTGGCAAAACAAATCCAAAACCAGAGTTCGGGAGTATCTATACCTGGGCCGGTAACTGCAATAACGCTGGAGGGAGGCGGTTTAGCGTGGACGATAACAAGCTTGTAAGGAGAATTGGAGATAGGAGCAACGAAATGTTGGAGCATCCACTGCAAGGCGTAGAAGCTGTGATCGCTCTCATCCACGCCAATCACAATCACCTGCTCCGCCATTGTCGAACAAAAACCGAAACGCGAGAAAACTGCCGTCCGGCACCGCTGCAATGGCGAGGTTCTTATAAACGCAATCCGAGAAAGAAGATGGAGTTGGAGGAAGAGCGATTGTGGAGGAGAAATCGGTTGTAGAGCGTAAGAGTTTGTGCTGCAATGACGGCGGTATCGTTTCGCAACTGTCAAGAGAGGTTTCTGCTCCCGGCGGAATCGGAATGTTGATCGGAGTCTCGGTGGATCACCGGGGCTGCTTCAAGCTCGTTTGCAACAACAAAAAAGAAGAAAAATGAAAAAAAGAGTTTGAACTTTTATTTCTTTAAAAGAATGTTATTTATTTATTATTATTATTATTATTATTTGTTTTATAAACCGTTTGGAAAGTATTGGTGAAAATGGTAATAATTAGTCATTTATTTGGGTTTGAGTTCGTACTAAAAAAATAAAAAAAAAAAAAGATTTGAGTTATTCAATTAATTTATTCGATTTATTACATTTGCTTATTTAGTTTTATTAATGTTTTAATTTTTTTTTATTTTATTTTACTTGAAAAAAAATGTAAGGTTAACTTAAAAGAAACACAATTTTCATTAAAAATATAATTAATGAAACAACATTAGCCTAAAATAAGACGAGAGAATAAATCGACTTTTGAATGGTAATATATATTTTATCTCTGGAGCTATGTTCTGATTGAAGGATTTTTTTTTATTTTTTATTTTTTAAAGAAACTTAACCTAAGATAAAAGTTTGAAAATCTCCTCGTGACCATTAATTACTTCATAAATTATATTTGATTATTCAAAATTACTAAAAGTATCTATACTTTTATTTGAGATTTCACACTAGAAATTTTCGAATAAATTTGGTTCGTGGGGTTGAACTTGATTTTGTATTAAATTTATGTAGCAAATACAATTTCTGATGTTTATTCTAATTCTATAATTTTTACACTTAAGTAGAGTCTTCAAATTTTAACTTTAATTTATGTAGCAAGTACGATCTCTGAAGTTTATTCTAATTCTATAATTCTTACGTTCAAGTAGAGTTTTCAAATTTTAACTTCTATAATTCTTACACTCAAGTAGAGTCTTCAAATTTTAACTTCGTCTCTTTGAATCAGCATTATGGCTTATGAACTTTTGCTTATAGTCTTGAAATGAACAATAATTTTGAACCTAACCTTTGAAATTGAGTCATGTTTGGGTCGAAGGCACAATTAGTGGATTCAAACTTTTATTCGAATCATCCTCTATAATGACTCGTAGACTAAAATTATCATTCGAACAGTTTGATAAAGCAAACTTGTGTGATCAAACGGCCATAAAGAATTTCATAGGCATCTCATCTCTACAGTCTCATATAACTCTACCAAATGTAAGCTAAAGATCAATCTACTATCTCTTCCACTCGATACCGTTGGATTACTAACGTCAACCTTCATTATTTCTTGATTGTTTAGATTTTATTTTTCTCGAGCCAAAATATAAGTCTCATTTGATAACAATTTCGTTTTTAATTTTAAAAATCATGTTTCACTATCTATTATAGATTTCAATTCAAAATACTAAAATTCTAATAATTTTCTAAGAGTTAAATATTGTTGGGTAAAGTAGTTATGCCATAAAGTACGCATAAACCGACCCAAATACTCGTTGTATTAAAAAAAAAAATTTTGAAAGTTCATTATAATTCATCATATTAAAGGAAATTCCTATATCTCCTTAAATCCTCTCTCTTAACCCCTTTGTGAAGGGTTAAGGTGAAAACAAACTTTACTATGTAAAAATTGGAAACTATTACTGCAATAATCATCATCAAAGTTTAATGTAAAAATAAATTACTTTATAAATATGGGACCCAAACTACGATATGATGATTTGAAAAGAAGAAATAGAAACCAGGATACAGTTTTACAAAGCTAAAAGAATTATCAATAGATTCAATACTATATAGTATATATCTTCGATTACAATCTTTGTCCTGAACAGGCTACAGTACTAGTAAATTTTCCCAACCTAAGTTTTAAAAATGTGACATTTAACTCTTGGAATTTAAAAGAATGATTCATAATGGTCTCTGAAAGTACTGTTTCTGTCAGTGCCACTAATGAAGAAATGGCTGAATAAAGTAAATGATGATATATTGGCTTTAAATAATATACAAGTTTTATATATTTACTTATGTGGCCTTTTTTTCCTTCCTTGTTCTGTCCCCCTAAAAACTCTCCCTATCTCAGAAAAGCCAACCGCACAATCTTCAACTAATCTGATCCTACGACATTTTGTATATACAAGTTTTAAGGTAAGTGACTACCATGACATTTGAACTCGTCCTCCCTAAGTCCTGTTATTTTTTACTTGTCCCCCTACGCAACTACTAGACAACCCAAACCTAGATGGTTTACTCACTTTTTCATTAGTGTCACTCGAAAAAAAGAAACTAATACCAGAGACCAATTTGAACCATTGATCAAACTCCAGATGTTGAACTGTCTAATTTTGAAACTTAAAAGACCAAAGCAAAGCATTTTCATTTCACACACTTTTAGACCACATATGCATTTTGCTTTCCAAAGATGTATTATTGACAGGCTCGCGCTCAACTTTAGGGGCAACTCTCGAAAGAAGAAAAAACTACTGTGGGGGCACCATAGTAATACTAAATACAAGATACATACCACTTCTCAAACTAGCTGCACAACGGCAGCCACCCTCAAGGCTCCGTGTTGAAGAAAATCCGCAAGCTCATCGAATAGGAGGGCCGTTCGCCAACCCCATCCCTTGGGAACTTTCGGTAGAAGAGTACCTGTCTGTTTGAAGCTTCCAAATACCATCACCTCCCTCTTTGATGGACATATTAACTGAATAATTGAGGCAAACAATGAGAATGTGTAAAACCAGATATTCCAGCATAAAGTTGGGCAAAATTAGAACTGTCAGATAGAACTAGAACTACATCTTTTAGTAGGTCTTTTATCGCCTGTAGTACCTGATATCGTGCGGTAACTTTTTCGCGAGAATCCACAAACATATGTACCTGAAAAGTGGAAATTTCAGATAATTTCATCTATGAAACAAGATCAACTCCCCAATGGTAATTCAGAAATCAAACCATCGTCTAACTATATAGTATATGTTATAGATGTTTAAACAATTGAAGATCTTTAAAACTCAAGTTGCACCATTTCCAGCTTAGATAACTGACATTGAGGCTGACCTTTCTGAGAGAATCAGATATTTCTGCCTTCCGCCTGTGAAGAAATAATCCTGAAATAATACAGGAAGAAGTTAAGCCAATGGGAGCATTAAATACATTTGCAGGTGGATGATGGCAGATCATCTTATAGCAAATAGTTACCTAGAGTTCGTCGTCCTTGTGGGTCTTCATCGTTAAAAGCCTGAGCACTGACCTATAAAGAAAATAAATAAAATCTATAAAATGTTAAGAAAGAAATGTAATCCAGAATCAAATATTTCAGTTATACTAAGTAGTGTAACTGCTTGTATTGACACCTTCCATAGAGAACCAGCATAGAAAAACTCAGGTGAGTGCTTGACTTGACCATCATTAAGCCTATGCACGTCCTCAAATTGCACGCTGGAAAACCGAAGATTAATTATAAATTTCAACTATCAACCAAAAATAGGATGCAGTAGAGAGAAACTAATTATATACTTGTGAGCAAAAGAAACAGAGTTTCAAAATATGATAAGAAATTCACCACGATGTTTGCCTCCACTTCTGAGTGGGTCACAATGTTAATATCCAGAGGAATTTCATAAAAAAAACTTGCTATGCCTATGAGAGGAGGAAACCAGGGATAATAAAACAGCAACCTCAGAGCCTAAGAAAATGCATGGGCTTTCCTCTCCAAGAATCTATAGAACGAGGTGAACATTTAATGCTCAAGAAATTCTTTACAAGCATATAATAATCAATTAGTCATAAATCTAAAACAATCTTAAGGAATAGATTAAGGCATCTGAAGGAATTGGGAAAACTTAAACACAGAACCAGGGGCAACGAATGGCGCCCAAGTACGTAACCACTAACGCAAACACAAGTTAAGGCCAGGATGGAAAACCACTAAGACGAAAAGCTAATTTCTTGAGCAACAAGTTCAGTAAGTTGCAATGCTGATAATTTTGAGTATCAGACTGAAACGAAATCCTTTATTTTATAGAGCAAGAAAGGCTGATAACCTACCCAAAGCGAAAAGGGGGGAAGTGACTTAAAGGTGTTTTCATATCCAATGCAATTGAACTGTTTTCATTCTCCCACTCAATTCCAAGGGCATGATCTGATGCTTGAAGCATCTGAACAGGAATACCAGTGGCACTTGGACCTGCCATGGAGGTTCCAGACATTCTGCTCTGCAGTTCCATCTCATATCCTCTCTCTGTTGGTTCTCCCTGCCCATTCATACTGCCGCTGCCTCCTTGGCTCAAACCAACCAATGCCGTCAACCCATCTCCAGACAAGTCTCCACTGTGATCAGCTCTAGCTTCTGAATCATCATTAGCAAGGGATTGATGACAATTTCTGTTGCCCATGCCAATAGACACACGGGAGTAGACAAAACGTGTTGGAGGCCAGGCACTCGCCGGCACAAAAGTGGCTCCACGTCCAATTCCAGCAAGCCCTTCAATTGGTCCTCTAACATGCACTCGGACAGGTCTGAAAGGGCCATTTCCTTCACCTTGAGAAGATTCTGCAACATATATGTTTCCCACATTGCCAGGAGAACTGTTCTGATCATGCTCATTGATATAATATCCTGAGGCATTGACTCCCCGTGCAAATGCAAATGGCTGCCGGCATGCACATGCTAAACTTGTAAGGCAGCAATTTTTGCATGTGTCAGCAACAATCTCTTGTACCCTTTGCCTTAAAAGCATCTGCAAAATAATTATATAATGAAAAGAAGCTAAACTCATATCCTGACAGAATCACAGACAACATGCTTCAAAAATCTTCTAATTAAACTAAGATGTTTAAAGATATAACCGAACTTGTTGAGCTGAGCTGAAAGATCAATTCAAGCAAGGATACTCAGTTCCTCACCGGGCACACATTTCGAGACTCACTACATATGAAGTTTCAGTTAACTAACTAAAGGACTTGGAAGATATAAATGGCAGGACTTCAAAATCTGGAAAATTTTAAACCTAATCACTTGCTGTCACCACAACTTTTTGCAACGGGGAAGTGATTCAGGAGGTTAAAACTCCACTTCTCCTCGAAGAAATTTTTGCAGAATAATATACATAAAAGAAAAGGTATGTCATCATCAAACCTGCAGCCAAAGACCATCATTTATAGCCTTGCAAGGGAAACCCAACTCCTCGAGTTGTTTTCTCATATTAAGAAGTGCTTCAAAATTCATGTTGCAGTACAAAAGTGAACCCCCTTCAAATAAACTATCAAAAACATCATAATCCTCTCCTCTTGCACCCAAGTTGCCTTTAGCATAACTTTTAAGTTGCCTTCTACCTACAACCCTGCCACCCCATGAAACAGCCGGCATGCCACATCTTCCCCAATCATTTGTAGGGAGTCCATTGGTAGAAGAGTTCACAGAAGAACAATGTCTTGTTTGGTCCCTGGCAAGCCAAGTATTGTTATCCAATTGATAGCAGCCTTCTTCTGATGGCCCTTCCATAGCAACGCCACTTGCACCAAGTCCACTAACTCCAACCGTAATTGGTAAGTTGATATAGGAACATGAGCTTAGAATTCTATTCGTATCAGAGAATGAATTATTTAAAGATGACGACCCTTCCACATTGCACAAACATGGTGGTTCTAAATTTGACTCAGAGTATGTAGCTTGTTGCATCTTCTGTTTAGAATTGGAGGCTCTTGTTTGGAAGTCAACCACACAATCTGAAAGCTCCACTAGAAGATTATGAGCAGTTTCATGGACGTCTAGCCCATCCTTCAAACTTAAATGTCCAAGCTCAGATTCCAATCTTTCATTAGAGGTATCTTTCGAACAATTTTCTTGTGTCTTAGAATTCTCAGGTTCAGTCTCAGAGCTGGAACAAACTGGCTCAGAAGCTTCCTCCTTGCAATGGGCGCCTTTAGTGAGGAATGTATACAATGCAAGTTCAAACCTTTTCATATGACCCAAAAAGAATCAGAAAAGAAAATATGGAGTTAGGTAGGAGCTCAGTATTGAAGTCTAAGCTATTAAATCCCTCACCGTTTCTCTTCGCTAGGCACCCATAATTCATCAGAGGTCAGCAAGGCATACAAGGTCTGAGATGAAAGCTTTGGAAGCACCTATTCACAATAAACATAACAAAAAATGTAAATGATGTGTCTCGTTCTAATACCAACACCTAAGATATTTAAACAATCCAAATGACGGTATTACTTATTGCTGTGCAATAGAGAGACAATGGTTCAATGAATCTAAAAAACCACAATATTATAAATGCAACTCTTTTCCAAAAGAATATGTGCCAGCTTTGTACTACCTACATTCAAAAGTTATAAAACACAGCAAAATCTACTAGAGCTATAAACAATGCACCTACTATAATCATCATACATTTCTTGTGAATATAAAAGAGAAACTATATCAAATTACCAGTAAGAGGACTTGACACATAGGACACCTTTTTTTATGAGAACGATAAAAAGTGTCACGAATTCAATGCATTCAATGTCGACATGATATGCTTCAACTACGAACCTTGCACTTGGTTAAGCCTAATGTCAAAGGATAGAGACATAAAATTATGATAGTATAACTCAAAATACCTCTTTCAATTCCACGGCACCACTTTGACAAAGGTAACCCCAGCAAGCATTTCTTACACGTTCGCCATGTATTCCATAATCTTGGCTCTCCGCAAATACCTAACCAAAGTAAAATACGTGTACAAAACATGTGAAATTTGGAGTAACAAAAGGAATCAGACAAAGCACCTTTACATGCTTAGTACCTGGTAAGCCAAGAAATTTGTAGTCCACAGTTCAGCTATAATAAAATCAGTGCATATCGAACACAAATCCTG